CAATAAAGGTTCTTCAAAACTGCCACCTGGTGGTGAAGTCCTGAACTACAACAAGAGCTACACCTCTCTCTGTAGCTGTGAGGTGTCATGCTACAATACTGTGCTTGATGCATGTGCACTGTTATAAAAAACTTGTAAGATTTACTGGAAAAAAATCTTCGTAACAATTTGTACAAATGTTGGTTAAGTAAATTTAAATGCTACAAATTCATGTAATATTTACTCATTATCTAGTAAAAATGATCAAGAATATAGTTAAAGATTTGTTAATAAATCAGGTAAATTTTACTTAATTTGATCAAGTAATTGTGCAAATTTACACAACTTAAACTAAACAACATCCGCAGCAAGGTCCCAGCAACAAGCTAACATTAGCTACCATTATTAGCTTACCGTACTGTTCGTCCTGCTTCTCATCATTAGCATCACGGTCCGGTACAGTCTTTGGTACAATTCTTTCTAGTTTGGTGTAACCCACTGTGTTACAAACAAAACGACATATGATTTGTGTGTTTGAAGGAGGGGTGCACCAATAAATGGGCTGGCTGATTTATCTGCACCAATTTCCTTCATTTTGGGAGATTGGTTGATACTTAAGTTAGACATGATCGGTGGAAAGTGCTTTCCCAAACATAAGATTATTTTAAGGTCTGACCAAAGTGACAGCATCTCCTTTTTTAAAACATATTATTAAACTAGTTGTTTAGCAAAGTGAATAAAAAATACTTTTTAGTTAATTTTGCTTTGAAACTGTCAAATTTCTAAAAATACTTTCCATTTTGTCACTAGTAGTGCCCTGGTGGTAGTGCCCCTGAGCATGAGTTATTTGTGCTCAGTGTAAAATTCTAAAGCCTTTTAACCTCAAGCATTGATCAGTGGAAGTTATTAGTCAGCATCTGTGAAAGTGAGCACTTCCTTTCTGTCGTATTTTCAATTGTATTTTTCTAGTTTTGTGTTCATGAGTACAAATGGGTTCCAGTTGTTTCATAATTTGTTTATTTATTGGTTGTATATATTTGTAATGTCTCTGCTGTTGGTTGAGTGTAATACGTGAGATTATACGTGAAGCTCTTCATGAAAATGAAGTTTCCTCTGTGGACTAAAGTTTGTGAAACATTTCTGGCATTGGTGGAATTCTGCACTGGTCAAACCTGGGCGGAGTCCTCCTCAGTGAATGAGCCACATCCACCCACACTTCCTTTAAATGTGCTCAGCATTAACTCAAACCATTGTTCTGGAGTCTCATGGAAAATGGTACATGTGATGTACTTTAAGGTTCACGGGGGAAAACTCAATCAGTGTTTGATGGAAACAGATTTCTAACCTCTGCTCCGTCTTCTTTTCAGGCTAAAGGCCAGAGAGATGGCATGGTGGCGTCCAGCAGGAATCGGCGCCGGCCTCTGTCCATGGGTGAGCTGGAAGGTGTGTCGTGGCAGGGCCCACGAACCATTTTTCTCCAAAAAAATTCACAAGGATTTGGCTTCACTTTGCGACATTTCATCGTCTACCCACCGGAGTCGACTCTCCACAGCCTGAAGGTAACAGAGTGTCGCTGATGTTTTTACCTGAAGCCTTAAAGCAGGACAAATAATGGCAGGAAGGCTTCACAAAATACACACTTTGCTTTGTTTTTTGGGGTAATAGTATTTTTTTCAATTTGTATATTATTTTTGCTTTGCAAACACTGAAGAAAAACCATACATTACAGTGACAGATAATCAGCCATTTCACATTTCACATGTAGAATCAGATAAAAACATCTAAGTCAGGGGTTTTCACCCTGTGGCTCTGTAGTACCCATCTTTTTTATAGCTTTCATCAAAACTGACATGAAAACAGAAAAATATATTCATACTAAAAAGGATCATTTTAATAGTTTTAGTTGTCAAATTCTTGTCGTCCATATTAAAACCATTGGTCCTGATCTTACATTATCAACTCATGTTCTAACTTTACCAAGGTTTGTTACCATCTGGTGTATTTGCAGATCTGTAGTAGGTAATGGTCTGTCTCTCCTTGCATGATGTGGGGCACTATGGCTTTTCCAAGCAGTTGTGATATATGTCCTTGTTATTAAGAGCAGGACTGTAAGTATTTATCCTCAGTGTCTATCAAACTATGGTTCAGTAAGATTATCTTTATATCCTGTTGCACACTTGACCAAAAGCCTTCAGTCTTTGGGCAGTTCCAGTGTGTGTGTGTGTGTGCGTGCGTGCGTGGTCACCCACTGCCTCACATTCCCTTAAACAGATACAGTGGGGTGTGAAAGTTTGGGCAGCCTTGTTAATTTTCCTGATTTACCTTTATAAATCATTGATTGGATTTAAAAAAATCAGTTAAATATATCATATAGGGGACAAACACAGTGATATTTGAGAAGTGAAATGAAGTTTATATGATTTACAGAAAGTGTGCAATAATTGTTTAAACAAAATTAGCCAGATGCATAAATTTGGGCACTGTTGTCATTTTATTGATTTCAAAACCTTTAGAACTACCATATTTATTCATGTATAATACGATCATCATTTTTTGATCTTACAATGCATAAAAATCTAATTATCAATAACCCGTGTATAATATCCCCCCACTTTATGGATGAATTTTAGGGTTAAATTTCTAGTATCATACATGAATAAATACAGTAATTTTTGGAACTTAAATTTGGTTTGGTAAGTTCAGTGACCCTTGACCTTCATACACAGGTGACTCCAATTATGAGAAAGGGTATTTAAGGGGGGCAATTGTAGGTTTTTCTCCTCTTTGCATCTTCTCTGAAGAGTGGCAGCATGGGAGTCTGAAAATAACTTCCAAATGATCTGAAAACAAAGATTGTTCAGCGTCATGGTTTAGAGGAAGGATACAGAAATCTATCTCAGAGATTTCATCTTTCAGTCTCCACTGTGAGAAACATTGTGAGAAAATGTTAGACCACAGGCACAGTTCAAGTTTAGGCTCCAAGTGGCAGACCAAGACTAATCTGGAATAAACAGAAGTGAAGGATGTTGAGAAGAGTCAGAGTCAACCCACAGACCAGCACCAAACACCTACAACATCATCTTGCTGCTGATGGAGTCACTGTGCATCGTTCAACTATTCAGCACACTTTACACAAGGAGATGCAGTATGGGAGAGTGATGCAGAGGAAGCCTTGTCTCCACCCACATCACAAACAGAGCTGCTTGAGGTTTGCTAAAGCACATCTGGACAAGCCAGCTTCATGTTGGAATAAGGTGCTGTGGACTGATGAAACTAAAATAGAGTTATTTTGGGCAGAACAAGAAAAACACCTGCTACCTACAGTAACATGTGGGGCTGGTTCCATCATGCTGTGGGGCTGTGGGACCAGTACAGAGACTGGGAATCTTGTTAAAGTTGAGGGACGCATGGATTCCAACCAGTATCAGCAGATTCTGGAGACCAATGTCCAGGAATCAGTGACAAAGCTGAAGCTGCTGAAGCCGGGGCTGCATCTTCCAACAAGACAACCACCCTAAACACTGCTCAGAATCTACTGAGGCCTTCATGCAGAGGAACAAGTAGAACGTTCTGGAATGGTCATCTCAGTCCCCAGACCTGAATATTATTGAAAATCTGTGGTGTCACTTAAAGAGAGCTGTCCATGCTCAGAAACCATCAAACCTGAATGAACTAGAGATGTTTTGTAAAGAAGAATGGTCTAAAATACCTTCAGACACAATCCAGACTCTCATTAGAAGCTGTAGGAAGAGTTTAGAGGCTGTTATTTCTGTGAAAGGAGGAGCTACTAAATACTGAGTTAAGGTTTTTTTATGGTGCCTGAATTTATGCACCTGCCTAATTTAGTTTAACCAATTATTGCACACTTTCTGTAAATCATATAAACTTCATTTCACTTCTCAAATATCACTGTTTGTCCCCTACATGGCATATTTTACTGATTTTTTAAAATCCAAACAATCAATGATTTATAAAGATAAATCAGGAAAATTAACAAGGCCGCCCAAACTTTCACAGTCCACCGTATGCCAAACTGTTCATTTTTTACCTGATTTCAACCTTTCTGGATTTGTGATCCTTGTATATTTTTTGAAATCAACCCGTTTTTGATTGCTTTTGTGTAAATGACACAACTCTTCAACCTTTGTCAGTTTCTTTTATATTTTTGACTTTGTATATTATGTTTTAATAATTTCAAGTATTTATAAAGGTGCCTGTCTGGTGAATGAGTTCGTGTTTGAGTTTCTCAAATGATTTCAGATCTGGCCTTTTAAAAATATGGGCTATAAATAGTAAATTTGTATTTGTCCACCCCTAGATCTATCTATAGTGCTTACTAACCATAAGAGCCCTAAATTAGGCTGCTCAGTAATACTTCTTTAAATTCTAGAGGATTAGAGTGTTTCTTATAAAACACTTGCCTTTTTGTTTTGCCAGAAGTATTTACTGAGCTGAGTGGTGCCCCCCAGTGGTCATCCTCACTAATAGATGTTCTGTGTTTCCACTACAGGATGAAGAGAACGGTAATCCATCTGGAAAAGGTGAGTTTCATGTTCTTCATCCACACCAGGTTTAAACCTGAATAAAATCAGACATGACAAAAACATGACACCATCTGTCTGGTTTTTACTGAAACATGCATGTTAGATTGATTAGCAACTCTAAATTGTCCCAAGGTGTGGATTAGTATGAGTGGCTGGATGTCTTGTTTGTCTCTGTGTGCAACCTGCAACCTTGCATGTTTGTATGGACAGCCTAAACACAGCTTTTAAAAACACTGATGTTATAGCCCCCACTCTAATCTAACCCATGACCTAACAACAAATTACCTGTTTACAATTGTGCTGCAGATGCTAGTTTCCAGCGGTGGGCAACAGTAAAACCTTCATAAAAAAATGAACTCTTTCCATCTACTGGGTAAAAAGACAGAATCATTTTTGTTCTCTTCTGACATTAAAACAGTTTAAACCTTTACTGTTTTAAGACCAAAAATTTTTATTGCTTTTTCCAAAGTCACAAGTTTACAAGACTACTATGCCTAAACAATTCAGGGAAACTCAGAAATTATGTCATCACTTTGGAAGCTTCTGATAGGTTTGACATTATTTGAGTTATTGGAGTCCGTTGCCCCTGGTTGGGTTTTCCGAGGCAGATTGATCCTAGGTGACAGGCGGCAGGCCAGATGAAGAATAATTCAGAGCACTAGAATGGAAAGAAAAAATCATGGAGTGCAGTGTCTTTCACCCAGACAAGGGTTGGGACCAACCCTGGAGCAAGAACTGGAGTAGGGGCTCTTAGTGCCTGGGACCGGGTCAGTCTCACTTCTAATGAGTCACATGACTTTGCCTTCCTATAGGCACACCACCTGCAGTAGGAGCCATGCAAGTTGAGTGTAATGTGTTATGGGCTAAAGGCGGAGGTCTTGGTTCTCTGACCCTGGCTTACCTGTCTCTTGGGACCTGGAATGTCTCCTTCTGGTGGGGAAGGAGCCTGAATGACGGTGTGACCTGGAGGGGTGTGGTTTGGAGGAACAGCCTCCTTGATCTGAACCCTAGTGGTGCTCTATTAGTCACTGTTTGTCCATCTCAAACATCATGTTTGAACATAAGGCTGTCTTTAAGTGCTCATGTCACTAGGACACGCTAGGCCTTGGATCATTGATTGACTTTGTAGTCATGTCATCTGATTTATGTCCCCATGTTTTGACCCTTGAGTGAAGAGTGGAGCTGAGCTATCACTGATCAGCACATTGTGGTGAATTGTATCAGATGGCAGGGAAAGACATCGGATAGACCTGGTACATCGAAACATATAGTGAAGCTTTGCTGGGAACAGAAAAACCATCAGAAGTATCTTCAGCTCACACCACCATGAAGGCTTGAATCACATCCCAGGGAGGCGAGGGACATGAAGTCCACGTGGGCCCTGTTCATGGGTATCTGCAGGCCAAGTGGGCTGGAACAGGGCATTGTGAAGTAGATCCAGGTGTCGTAAAGACGCCCCGACGCCCCTCTGGCTAAATGCATGGTTACAATTGTAGGGGCCTTACTAGTCTTCTTGCTAAAATCTGTTCAGGGGTTCTGGAGACGAGACTCATGGTTGAACTTGACATTCTGGAGGAACAATGCAGGTTTCATTCAGGCCATGGAACATTGGATCTACTCATTACCCTCACTAACAGTGGTGGGCACTAGTCCACTAAAGCGCAAATGTGCACCTAAATTTCTCCTTTGTGCTTTAGGGGTTTTACTAATTTCATTAAATGATGTGCAGATTTGCATTTTCTAAATTTAGAATTGAGTAGCACTAATCGCAAATAATGTTTCACATTCAAACGTCAATTTCAACTAAAGGGAAAGATTCACACTCTTATTTTGAAAAGAACAGAGTTCCTGTTCCGTGTCCTGTAGCCTACCCAGAATGCATTGCTTCAGTTTTACTACAGTTTAAAATTACTAATATATCTGCATGTTTTCTTGCTGAAGCCCTGCCATAAACATGAGAAATGACCTAGAAGCAGCAGAACTAGCAATCCACAACTATTTTTAGTTTTACAACCATGATTTAAAAGTCTGTTTCTATGAATCAGCTCCCCATTCTGCGCCGATCTGTGAAAGAAGATGATCTTACCACTAGATGGCAGTAAAGTTCTGACTTTTCTCTTAACTGGGTGTTGTGGTAAATGGAGATTATTTTGTGCTTTAATATTACCTCAGCTAAGTTTTATCGAGTATATGTGCTTTTGAACTTGCAGACCTAAATAAATTGACTAGTGCTTTAGAAATTGCACAACTAAAATTTAAATTAGCGCTGCCCACTACTGCTCACTAGGGTCCTTGAGGGGTCACAAGAGTTTGCCCATTCCAGTTTATGTGTGTTTTGTCAACTTGGGAAAGACATTTTCTCATGTTCCTGAAGGTACACTGTGGGTCTGTGGTTACAGGTCTTTCAATCCCTTTATAAGTGGTGTAAGAGTTTGGTTTGCATTGACGGCAGGAAGTCAGACCCCTTTAGGGTGGGAGTTGGACTCTAGCAAGGCTGCCCAAAATCACTTATTCTATTCTTTTATGGACAAAATGTATCTGTACAGCCAGGGGCTGGAGGCAGTCCGGTTTGGTGACCTCAGAATTCTGTCTCTGTTATTTACATATGAAGCAAATCCAGGCTCTTTGTTACTGATTGGTCTACGATACTACCCTCACCGATGGCCACAAACTTTGGGTAGTGACTGAAAGAACAAGAATACAAGAGGCCAAAATTAGTTTTTTCAACAGAGTAGCTGGACTCTCCATTAGAGATAGTGTGAGATGTTCAGATGTCCAGGACAGATTTAGAGTAGAACTGTTCTCGTTCACAACAAAAGGAGTCAGTTAAGATGGTTCAAGCATCTGGTAAGGATGCCCTCTGCATGCCACCCTATGGAGGGCTTCCAGCAGTGGTGGGCAGGGAAGAGACATCTTTGTCTTTTCTTTATGTTGTGTTTGAATCCATGTTGTGTTTTCTGTTTCTGGTGTATTTTCTTGGCATTATAAGAACTCCGCACAGGCATGGCAGCATTGTGGTTCTTTAGATTGTTTTCTGCTTTTCCGTGTAGATGAAAACATTCTTTTCACTTTTTGAAATGACAGCTGGTGTGTGGAAACCCCATTTTTGTTTTGTTGGTGAACCCTGTTTCTTTCTGTGTGTCTAAACAGGTTGTCAGCGATCTCACTTAGAGCCAATGGACACCATTTTTGTGAAGAGTGTGAAAGAAAATGGCCCTGCTCATCAAGCTGGACTGTGCACAGGTAGGATCCACTCAGGATCCATGTGCAGATCGATTGTACACGTAGAACACAAAAATGTCAAAAGAAATAAAACGTTTTAATGAACTGATTCTAATGACACAGTACTCTAAAATGCACTACTGATCCTGTCACTATGCTAAACTGAGGCAGGTTAGATTCAGATTCAAAGTGTTTATTGTCATATACAGTACACAGATAAAACATGTTTCCCTGAGCAATGAAATGCTTACTTTGGCATCCACAGTGAATGCCAAGAGACAACCAGAAGAAAAAAGAAAAAAAAAAACGAGCACTTAAAGGATACTAAAGAAGGGATAGGATAAAAGACCACACTTAACTAGAGATAATAGCTGTGTTTCCATTCGCCATGAAAATGCGCATATTAGAATTTTGAAAATAAATTTCCTCAATGGAAACACGTTGATTTTGAAAAACATTACGTTTTTCAACAAAATGTTTTTGTGCTAGGATGAGGTGGTTTTTCGGTCGTATCGAAATTGGTGTTTTTCGCAAAGCTGCAATGGAAACACTTTTTTCACATCACAGGAGTCACGTGATCAAAAACCGTCTGTTTCTACTGGTGAAAAAGACGATGATGAAGAAGATAACAGGAAGTAGAAGTAGTAGTAATATCACAGAAGTAGTATAAAGTAGTAAACTCACCGACTACAATTTCCCAAAAACACAGCATACGTAGCCGCTCCCAAGTAGGGACTTGTCTCTGGAAAGCCTCGATAAAAGACGCCGACGTCTCCTCTGATGATGAGCGCTAGTGTCGTGGTAGCAACATGCTATGTGTTTACATCCATCGCTGCCATGTTTGTAATGACTTATCATGAGAACAAACGTATTCACGTGACTTTAATAACATTTCTTACTTAATAGAAACATAGCAGTTGTGAAACTGTGTTTTTTCAACATTAACAGAATATCCACAAAGTTTTGCTCACATTTGCGATGGAAACACAACTTCTGTGGCGACCCCTAAAAGGGAAAAGCTAAAAGGAAAAGAAGTTAAGTGGATGCTATGTGTTTACATCCATCGCCGCCATGTTTGTAATGACTTATCATGAGAACAAACGTATTCATGTGACTTTAATAACATTTCTTACTTAATGGAAACATTTTAATTTGCATTTTTAATTAATTTTTGTAGTTTATTTTGAAACATTTTGAATGTATTTTAAAGAAACTTTAAACTTGTCCAAAAGCTGTTGTTACTGTTATTCTTTGTCGCTAATATGAAGAGCAGCTTCTGGTTGCAAAAGTTTAAAAATGCTGTATATTTTTTTGCACTTCATCAAATTAATTTTTACAGGGTTTTTTATTTTGAAACATTTACATTAAACATTTTTAATTTTTTTTATTTTATGCCCACAATTTTATTTATTGAATTGTCTATTTTTGTTATTGTTTATGTTAAAAAAATCTTGTGTTTACCATTGTATTTGTTCAAATAATAGTTATGGGCAGGTTACAATATAAACAAATATTTGTTATAATCATGTCTTGTGATTATTTGACAGGAGTTTTACTTTTAAACTGTAAGTGTATTTAATTTAGTTATGTTAGTTATGATAGTTTAATCATGATGTAAATACAATAAAAATTAAACCAAGATTTAGAATAATTATCATTTTGATCCATACATTGGTAATGTGTGACTGGGCCTCGTGACTCTTTATGTTCAACAAATTGGGTCCCGAGGTCAAAAAGGTTAAGAAGCCCTGGTCTCCAGCACAGCTTGAGCAGCTGCATCACAGTCTGGTACAGCAGCACTACGGAGAGCGTTACACGTCCTCTCTGCAGTCTAGTTTTTACTCTCCTCCTTGTTCTGTTTGTTTCCTGCAGGAGACAGACTGGTGAAGGTTAATGGTGAGAGTGTTCTGGGTAAAACCTACTCTCAGGTCATTGCACTCATCCAGAACAGGTAGGAACCAGCTGTTGTTTTCAGATCTTATGACTTCACATCCTGACCTGCATACATCAGTCATGCTGCTCTTTTTTTTATCTAATTTCAAATAGTGAAAACAGTTTGGAGCTGTCTATTATGCCAAAAGATGAAGATGTGTTGCAGTTGGTAAGTGTGAGTATTATTTTTCTTCTGTCCTTCTTTTCATTTCCTGGATGTGTGAAACCATCTGTAAAGAAGAGTTTTATGTTTCTCAGAAGTCATTGAGTGGATGAACAGATAAGCAGGTGGTGTTAGTAAAACACATGAAGACAAACAATCAGAACAGAGCTGCCACCAAAAACTACTTTCTCTCTGGGATCAATAAAGTATTTTTGAATTTGAATTGAATTGTTCTCAATTGACTTACCAATTAAATAAGTGTTTAAATAAAAAACAACAGCATGACAAATAGACCAAAGCTTTAATATTTATGTATTTAAAATAGGGATGCACCAATCCACATGTTTTCACTTCCAGTCCCAGACCTGAACTTTTGATATCAGCTGATATTATTAATTAATTACTTAATTAAATCCATACATTTTGTTTAAACAGCAGGATAAAAACAAACCAAGCTTGAGGCGAATCAGATCTCAAGCAGGTCAGTGAACTCAGATTCTGATCTAAAAGTTTCCTCAAACATTTCTTCAGTGGAAAATGAGGCGAACAGATTCTCTGTCTAACTTCATACACTTCATTCAGCAGCTGACAAACCTTCAGGTGCTTTAGTTTCTATTCCTGCCGTCTCATATCTCCTCAGCTGCAGCTGCAGAGCAAAAACACAACCTTTATTCAGCAGCTAGCTGGAAATACTCTGAGACTTTAGACTCTGAAAACTATTATTCTGACCCTGCTGCAGCTGCAGACACTTTCTACCATGATAGTTGAAAATCAGACTGATGGCCTGATTACAAACTGTTGTTACCTCTTACTGCGTATAAAATAAATATTATGTGTTGACTAAAACATTGACAGTGACTAGTAATATAAAGCACAGAATAAAGGGCTCGACACACAGGGAGTGACAAACCACAGTGATTAACGTCTGTTATCACAGCCAGGGTGAAACCGAACACATGAGAGCGACAGCAGCGTTGTAAATCGCACTCTCAGGTCACTTGTCTTCAAGAAATTTGATTGGTTCTTCTTCTGCCTCTTGTAAAAGTTATGGGTGGTTCGTAAAAAAAGGGTGTGCATAATGGAGGTGTAAACTAAACAAATTTTGCGATGCTACGTGTACGGGTGTGAAATTTCAATTAATAAGTTTATTCACTCAATTCAAAAACTTCCTCATTATAACATACAAACACATTTTGGTTTAACACATACTGTGTATGAGTGAAAAGGGAGCAGGAAGAAGAAAAACCTTGTATAAACCTGCTCCTTTCTCAATATTTACAATGAATTTTTCATGGCCACATACATTAAATCACAAATAGAATCTGCAAACAATATATCTCCTCCTCATTAACTCAGAAGTGTATAAGACTTAATAATTTTTCCTTATAAAGTATTTTAAATTGATTTAAAGTAGAACATTTTTTCAAATCGTCATCCAAACTATTCCATAATTTTACCCCATAAACTGAAATACACATTTGCTTTAAAGTAGTATGCACAGTTTTACTTTTAAAACCATATTTTCTTCAGTTATTTCTGTCATTTGAACTTAAGACAACAAACTTTTGTAAATTAATTGGCAATAATGTCTTTTTTGCTTTAAACATAATTAATAAAACTTTTAAATTAACTAAATCCCGTAGTTTTAAGATGTTTGATTGAATAAAAAATGTATTTATATGTTCCCTAACATGCCCTTTATACAGAATTCACATAACTTTCTTCTGTAACACAAACAAAGGTTCAGTGTTGGTTTTATATGTGTTGCCCCATACACATATAAAACACACAATAGGTCATATACGGAACAACAAATGAGTGATATAATGTATGGAGTGTTCGTTGTTCTAAAATATTTTTTACTTTATTTAGAAGTCCAATACTTTACATAGTTTTTGTTTTATATAATTTATATGAGATTTCCAGTTAAGTTCCAGTTCACATGCATGATCTTCACTGGTCGCTTGGCTGGAGGAGAGCGAGTGGTTGTCACCTCATCGCACAAGTTCCACAGGAAGTGAATGGAGAGAGAGCAACATCGCCTCCTGTGTGTCGAGCCCTTAAAATACACAGCAGCTCTGAAACATGAAAAAAGGAATGATGTCAGATTGTTTTTACCTCCAGACTAAACATGATTCTTTAGATCAGGTAGCAGGTGTGTTCTGTTTATCTGGATCAGGTTTATTTTCAAACAAACAGGCAGTGGTGGGCAGCGCTAATCCAAAAATTAGCTCCACAATTTCTAAAGCGCTTATGAAAATATTTAGGTCCACAACTTCAAAAACACCTATGTCTTAAAAAATTAGCAGAAGCTAATTTTAAAGCACAAGTTCAATTTGACACTTAGTTGCTAGAAATTCATGTACAACATATGTACAGCACTGCCAACTAGTGGTGAATACAGCTTTGTACAGCTTAATCTTACAACCGCTGATTGTTGGGGATCTGATTTCATGAAACAGAACTTTGGCTCCTGGTGTAAAAATTAAAAAGTTGTTGAGGATTGCTAGTTCGGCTGCTTCTTTATCTTTTTCTTTTGTTTGTTGTAGATTTTTCATTAAAGAAGCATCAATAAAGTAATTTTAAAACTGTTTATTGGAAAACTGAAGTGATGCATTCTGGGTACATGACAGACTGACAAGAAAAGAAAGCACGGGGAACAGGAAACTAGTATCTTCTCTTCAAAATAAGAGCTTGGATTTTAAAGGTTTTAATGTTTCCATTGGATTTTAAAGTTTTCCAGTTCACCTGAAACTCATCAGACTGAAGAAGTCTCTTGGAGGAGAGACGAAACGTTTCACTAAAGAAGAACCATCCAGAGGACCTACTGATTTTTTTTTCTACCTGGATCAGGACGTTTTCCATGTAGTTGCTCCAGTTGACCACTAGATGTCAGTCTTCACCAGCATAACATCTTTAAATCATTTCTGAGTCTCTAACACCGTTGGCCGATTGCTTTTGAGCTCCAGAGTTTAAACTTTTTTTTTAAAGGAGCTCCGATTGTAAAGTAAAATAAATCAATACAAACAAATTTTTAGTATGGATTACAAACATTTACTGTTTTTGCTGTTGCCTTCCTGCTACGTAAGCAAACACAAAGCATTGTGGGAAATGAGAACCGTGACCCAAAGCAACAGTCAGCAGGATGTATACCTTCACAATAAGTGTGTTTATCTGGGAGGGGTGCTGTTGGATAGATCACGTGTTGTGATTCATTGACAGTCATACCTTCTGCTGTTCAACATAATGATGACTGGTAGATAATTAGTTATTAGCAGTACTGAATTTTAATTTTAGAAAGCGCAAATACGCTTATGAATTATAAAAATTAGTAAGACCACTAAAACACAAACAAAATATTTACGTCCGCAATTAGTGGATTTGTGCTTTAGTGGGCTGGTGCCCACCACTGCAAATAGGTCTTACAGATAAGCACATAGCTAAATGTTTTTTTGGGGAATAAGCTGTATTGGTTGAGCGTGAAGAAATGTTTCCGCTGTATTAAAAACAAAAAATCTGCTGCATCTGTCTCACTCTGTCCTTTAGCTTTCATTCTGTCCTCTGGTCCTCAGGCGTACTCCCAGGATGCCTACCTGAAAGGCAACGAACCGTACACTGGTGAAGTCCAGAACCTCCCAGAGCCCCCGCCTCTCTGTTACACTTCCATCAAGCCTGGCTCCGCCCCCCACAGTCTCCTGGACAACTGCAGAACCAGCACCACCTCACCACTGGACAACCGGCCCCTTGCTGCCCCCACACCCACATCTGGCTCACCCAGAGCTCTGGAGGAGTCCAGCAGCCAGCGGAGTTCATCCAAGCAGCACCGAGGCCGGTCGTCATCAGCCCTCAGCGCGCTCCAGTTTCACTTTGCAAACCACAACGCTGCCATTGCTTCTGCATCTCTGCCTCCACCTGGGAGGAGCAGCCTGCCGGCCTGCGCACGCTCCCACAGCGACGCCCTGTGCCACCAGGCTCTGACAGACTGGTACTACAGCCAGGCAGACGCTGCAGAATGCATGTCCCCCCGCCAACACAGTATATCTCAGGAATACTTATCCGAGCTGGGCCTGGGCTTAGCACTTGGTCCCAGACACTCAGCTGCCCCCAAAACCTCCACAAAGCAACACCAAAGAGACAAGCTCCTGCAGCGCCACCAGTCTGATTCCTACAGGCTGGGAGACCGGACTGATGGATCAGGTCCCCATGATTCCTACAGACTGGGAGACTGGACTGATGGATCAGGTCCTGGCAGCAGACTGTGCTCACAGAGTCTGCTGGCTGCGTACTCTGAGTACGAGCACAACTACGGTAGGTCTGTGGAAACACTGGCTGAAGCTTCGGCTCTGGTCTCACAACACTATGATCACACTGTGCAAACCCCCCAAAGGACCAAATTCAGTGAGCAGAACGAGCAGAGAGACTCAGGAGCACCTCCACACCCAGCTGCAGACACAGCCTCAGGCCGGCAGTCTGGTCAGCAGGTGGCCGAGCCCCAAACCAGGAGACTAAAAGACCAGGAACTAGTGGGCTATAAAAGCTACAGTCCTTCTTTCTCCCGCAGAGCAGGACACGTCCTCCAGCAGGCCCAGTCCTTCAGAGAGCCCACCTACAGTGGGCCTCACCTCAGCTGGAACACCAGCAGTGATGTGGAGGTAACACCCCGTCCCCGGTCCACCCCGGCTCGTCCCGCCTCAGAGGAGGAGCAGGTCCGGCTCAGAGAGGACAGAGTCTTCAGTCAGAAAGTGGTCCTGAGGCAGACGCTGCCTGCTGACAGCCGGAGAGCAGCTCAGTCCGTGCAGCAGCCACACTACACCATGCCTGCTGGGTCACCGGAGCTGCCCGGCTGGACCCCACCATCTGGAACCTCACCGCTTCCCACTGCCACGGGCCGCCGGGCCAATGGTGGTCTGGCACAGCATGCTCTGGACTCGCTAGCATCAATTCCTTTCATAGGTTAGTGAGTCCCAGCTTTGTTCACAGTTCAGAGTGCCATAAAATGTCCTTGGTGGGACAGAGTCAGCCGGTGAGACCAGATTACATCTGATCCATGACCTGTTTCTGACTGGCTACAGTTGAAACCAGCTGAACACCAGATACAAAAACAGTAGGGCTGCAACGATACAGAAAATTCACAATTCGGTTCGATACTTTAGTCTCACGGTTCGATATTTTTTCGATACAAAAAAAAGAGAAATGTCCATGCCCCTTTTAACTTGTAATTTATTTAAATTAATTATGAACTTTTGTTTAACCTCAAAAGTACAGTTTTTAAATTAAATGTTGCTGAAACAGCAAGTTTCTCAGTGGCTCTGTGCTCAAAAATACAGCCTAGGTGGAGTAGTCAAACACAGATCCACTGATCCTTCAACACAGAGCATCTTCAGAAAACATGTTGATAAAATAAATTTTAAAAATCTGTATTGTTCTATACAAATGTGTATTGAACCTAAAGCACTGTTCGATATGGTTTGATACGGGTACATGTATTGTTGCACCCCTAAAAGACACATGCTTTTTTCACACAGTCTGACATGAAATCAGAATAAACAAATAAAAATTTGCCTCAATCGTTATTCTGGCATTTAGCAAATAGAAAACATATCTTTAATCCTAACTGACCTAAAGTAGGAATAATTAATTCTGGTTTCATGTCAGTGTGAAGAAAATGCTTATAGTTTATGTAAACTGGTTTCAGCTATATAAAGTTTTATGTCTACGTAATGTTTTTCAAACATTTATGCATCATTTTCTCCAAAGTGTTGTATTGAGAAAGTGTTGTATTAAGTGATGTTGTACTGTGTGTGAATATTAACAAGTGTGTCATTTGTGTTCTGCACATAAACACCAACAGATGGTTCAACTTAGTGAAGTTATAGAGACAAAGCTAATGTAGGCAGAAATGATTTATCTTCTGATAGTCAACATCCTACAGAGAAACTACATCACTCACTCACAAAAACTGATGTTGGATTTACTTAACTATGTTATGTCAACTGGTAAAATGGACTGTACTTATATCTCGCCTTTCTATCCATCCAGTTCAAAGCAACATACTCATGTTCTTTGGGTAGGAACTGGGTATATTGCTTTGGATTTACTCAGCTCAGTTAAGTGGAACCAGTTGTTTGCAGATAATTGTGATCTGTGGGGAGAGCAGAGAACAGAGGAAAATCTCCAGAGATGGAGGTTTGCCCCGGAAAGGAGGGGAATGAAGGTTAGCCGTAGCAAAACTGAATACATATGTGTGAATGAGAGGGACCCAAATGGAGACATGAGGTTACAGAGAACAGTGATAAAGAAGGTGAAGGACTTAGGGTCAACAGTCCAGAGCACTTGTGGTAAAGAAGTGAAGAAACGTGTCTAAGCAGGTTAGAATGAGTGGAGAAACATTTCAGGTGTGATGTGTGAGAAAAGAGTATCAGCAAGAATGAAGGGGAAGGTGTAGGAGACGGTGGTCAGACCAGCTATGCTGTTTGGTTTAGAGACAGTGGCAATGACAAAGAGACAGGAGGCAGAGCTGGAGGTTGCAGAGATGAAGATGTTGAGGTTCTCTTTGGGAGTGACAAGGATGGAGAAGATCAGGAATGAATGCATCAGAAGAACAGCCCATGTCAGGTGTGTTGGAGATAAAATCAGAGAAACCAGACTGAAATGGTTTGGACATGTAGAGAGGAGAGATAGTGAATCTGTAGAAGGATGCTGAGGATGGAACTGCCAGGCAGGAGACCTGGAGGAACACCAAAGAGGACATTTATGGATGGAGTGAAAGAGGACATGAAAGCAGTTGGTGTGAGAGAAGAAGATGCAGAAGATAGGGTTACTTGGAAACAGATGACTCTCTAGCTGCTTTTCCATTGATCATGAAAATTCGCAAATTAGACTTTTGAAAATAAATTTGCTCAATGGAAACACATCAATTTCGAAAAAAATGACGTTTTTCGAGAAAATGTTTTTGCTCTAGGATGAGGTGGTTTTTCAGCCATATCAAAATTGGTGTCTTTTGCAAAACTGCAATGGAAACACTTTTTTCGCATCATGGGAGTCACGTGATCAACAACCAGCTGTTTCTACTGGTGAAAAAGACGATGATGAAGAAGATAACAGGAAGTAGAAGTAGTAGTAATATCATAGAAGTAGTATAAAATAGTAAACTCACTGACTACAATTTCCCAAAAACACAGCATACGTAGCCGCTCCCAAGTAGGGACTTGTCTCTGGAAAGCCTCGACAAAAGACGCCGACGTCTCCTCTGATGATGAGCGCTAGTGTCGTGGTAGCAACATGCTATGTGTTTACATCCATCGCTGCCATGTTTGTAATGACTTATCATGAGAACAAACGTATTCACGTGACTTTAATAACGTTTCTTACTTAATGGAAACACTGCAGTTGTGAAACTGTGTTTTTTCAACATTAACAGAATATCAACAAAGTTTTGCGCACATTTGTAATGGAAACGCAACTTCTGTGGCGACCCCTAAAAGGGAAAAGCTGAAAGGAAAAGAAGTTAAGTGGAACCAGTTGACCTAACATGGTTCAGGAATTCCAACATTTCATTTGTTAGAGTGAGCTGCTATGAAAGAGAATAATCTGTGGTCCTCATCCTCTTCAGAGAATCCAACATTTGGAACAAAAAGAGGTTTTTACACTTAGATCTCAATTAAAATGATACAGATTTATTCTCATTGTTGCAGCTGTATGATGGAAATCCTGTCTTTTTGTTTTTGCCTTTAAGAACTCGTTCTGTGCACAAGCTCCTGGCAGAAGTTTTATTTCTTGCTGTGCTAAGTTTTGTGTGTTTATTCATTTTAATTACTTAATTAATTATTTTTTAAGTTTAACTAGGACCGGACGGTGTGACCTCAAATTCATATCACGGTATAAACTCAACCCCTTCACGGTAACGGTATTTATCACGGTAGAAAACTGTCATAAAAAGTAAAGATATTGTAATTTTTAGAGCTTTTTTTGCAGAAAACTGTAATCTTAATCAAACCCAACATTTTTGCTTTAATATCTGCCTGCCAAACAATGAGCTTCCGCCTGCTATCTGCTGCTGCTCTGCTGCGCTCTCATCTTCATCATCTTCATCATCAGAGCAAAAGCCGACTTTACATTAGCAAGATGGATTTATGACTGAACGAACATCCACGTCTTTTTTTAATCATCTCTGTGGGTAACAATACATAAAAAGGTTTTTCTCCGACAACTTGGGTGTGAAAAAACTGTTGTTATTAAAGCTTCGCTCTGCGCAACTTGCAGCCGGAGGGAGGAAATGATCCCGATGTAACTTTTCTACAGCGGGAGGGGAAAATTTTGAGGATTTATTCTCTGTACAAGTTTTAAAATGCTATAAATTTTTCATTATATTTCAAACTCCTGCTCAGTTGTCTCTGCACTCACAGCCATGTTGACACAGGTGTGATGACGTAATGACGATAGGACGGTAGAGTATAAATTTCTACCGTAGGCCAACTTCATACCGTTTCTATCATCTACCACATATACCGCGCAACCCTAAGTTTAATAGTTTATACCACTTAAACTTTAAAGATGATCACAGATTCGGACTCGGTGCCATTCTGATCTATACTTGGGGAATCACTAACTAAAATTTAAGGCAAGTGTCATGTTCCTGTGATTGACAGCCTGGGTACAGCCCCAGCTCCAACAATACATCATGAAAAACAACTGGAGGAAGCAGAGACACTTTATGTTGGAGGTGAAGCTGAAAACAAAATGAGCCATAATCAATAGTTACCATTTTATTGTGTTTGTCTGTTGGAGAAGAAGCTCTGCTTTAGACAGGTGTTCTGAGTGTTTCCTGTGTGTGACCCCTGACCTTTAGATGAACCCAGCAGTCCTAACACTAACCGTCAGGCCTGCTCTGTAGTGTCCAGTCCCCAGGCCTCCACTGTGTCCACCCTCACCTCTACCTTTGTGTCCCCCACCCTCTCCATGTCCCCCTTTGTCCAACGTGGCTCTCAGGACTGCAGTGAGTCTCCCTCACCTTGTTAATTTGAAAAAGGCATTGTAAAGGACCAGTTGTTCTCTTGTTGTGTGTCTAAACTGTCTCCTCTCCTCACGTTCATGTTCTGTCTTCAGGCAGCATTAAAAGCCGCCGCTCTTCTTATCTACTCGCCATCACCACTGAGAGGTCCATGTCCTGCGACGAGGGCCTCAACACTTTCAGGGAGGAAGGCCGAGTCTTCTCGTAAGTCACAAACTCAGGGGAACCTTTGGTAACATTGATCAGCACTGTGTCTAGAACAGCTAAACACCAGCTGCAGGGGTTCTCTGTGTTTAAAAAGGCTGGGGGGGGGGGGGGGGTAAGTCTCTTGAGCCTCATATAGCTACTTGTCCCTGCAGCAACCCTTTCTAGTTTGGACAAATTATACAGTTGTCTTCAAAGGTATTGTCAAGTCCCTCCAGTGTATCCTGGGTCTTCCTCTGGGTCTCCTCCCAGTGGAACGTGTCCAGAACACCTCACCAGGGAGGAGTCCAGGAGACATCCTAACCAGATGAACCACCTCAACTGGCTCCTCCGGACGTGGCGGAGGAGTCGATCTCTTGCTCCATTCTTCCCTCATTCATGAACAAGACCCCAAGATACTTAAACTCCTCCACTTGGGACAGGACCTCCTCCCCGACCCGGAGAAGGCACCCTACCCTGTTCTGGCTCAAGACCATGGACTGGGATTTGGAGGCACTGATCCTCATCCCAGCTGCTTCACACTCAGCTGTGAACCGCTCCAGTGAGAGCTGGAGATCAGGATCTGATGAAGCCAATAGGACCACATCATTCACAAAAAGCAGAGATGTGATCCTAAGATCACCAAAAAGGATCCCCTCAACACCTTGGYTGCTCCTAGAAATTCTGTCCATAAAAGTTATGAACAGAATTGGTGACAAAGGACAACCTTGGTGGAGTCCAACTCTCACCGGAAACTAGTCCGACTTACATGGCTTACAATGTTAATGCAGACCAAACTCTGTCAGGGACCTAACAGCACATAACAATGGGCCTGGTACCCCATACTCCCGGAGTACCTCCCACAGGATTCCCCGAGGGACACGGTCGAACGCCTTCTCCAAGTCCACAAAGCACATGTAAACTGGTTGAACTCTCATGCACCCTCCAGGACCCTGCTGAGGGTGTAGAGCTGGTCCGCTGTTCCACGACCAGGACCAAAACCACACTGCTCTTCCTGAATCTGAGATTCGACTATCTGACAGACCCTCCTCTCCAGGACACCTGAATAGACCTTACCAGGGAGGCTCAGAAGTTTGATTCCCCTATAGTTGGAACACACCTGGTGGTCCCCTTTTTAAATAGGGGGACCACCATCCCGGTCTGCCAATCCAGGGTAACTGCCCCCGATGTCCACACGATACTGTAGAGTCACATCAACCAACACAACCCCACAACATCCAGAGCCTTAAGGAATTCCAGGTGAATCTCATCCACCAGGGGCGGCTGTGGTGTAGTGGTAGAGCAGTCGGCTTTGGGACCCGCAAGTCACAGTTTCGACTCCCTCCCATGCCCGCATGCCGTGGTGTCCTTGAGCAAGACACCCAACCCCCAACTGCTCCCCGGGTACCTACATGGCTGCCCGCTGCTCCACTTGGGTGTGGATGGGTCAAATGCAGAGCACAAATTTCATCATTGTATGGGAACATACACTGATGACCAATATAAGCACCTTTAGCCCCGGCGCCCTGCCACTGAGGAGCTTTTTAACCACCTCAGTGACCTCGGCACCAGAGATTGGAGAGTCCGACCCAGGGTCCTCAGGCTCTGCTTCCTCATGGGAAGACGTGTCGGTGGGATTGAGGAGGTCTTCGAAGTATTCCACCCACCGACCCACAACGTCCTGAGTTGAGGTCAGCAACGCACCATCCCCACCATAAATACAGTGGTTTGCAAAAGTATTCATACCCCTTGAACTTTTCCATATTTTGTCACATTACAACCACAAACATAAATATATTTCACTGGAATTTAATG